TCAATTCAAACCACCTTTCGACTTCGGCCTCGATGGGGTCCATATGCTGTGGGGAGGATGGGGCCCGTCTTCTCCTCTTTGATCGTCGGAAACGTAGCGGTCCCTTAGGTGGGGGTGATGCCGCGTCAAGCCAGCTCTGCTGCACAGCCTGTGCTGCAGCCTCTTGGGATGATGAGCCCGAGGATTGGACTTCGGGCGCCTTCACCACGTGCCTCAACTGCAGAAGTCATATGCATGCTGTTATTCACACAAGCAAAAACTATCAGCAGTTGGATGCAGACATTCACAAAGGCAAAGGCCACAAATCAGACCTCAACTCACCAATGCCGTCATCTCTTTCTTCAACATCGCTTGGAACTTTGCCAGGGTGTCATATTCTTCCACCACATTCGGCCAATCGTCAGCGTTGTTCCAGATCCTCCTCATCCAGTGCAATGTATTCCTCCTTCCGTCCACAGCCGCCGCTAATGCCCAGCAATATGCCCAGCCAAATAAAAGTAACAAAGTGGTAAGACTTCCCCAGCCAGGTGACGGCGGGTACTGCCAGATAATATTGGTGGCATGTAAGCAAAGACGATGGGTATTGCAGCGACAAGTGGTGCACCCTGTGCAGTGCATGGCCACATGGAAGGAACCAACTGCCAAGGTTTACCCAGCCAGGTGACGGCGGGTACTGCCACCAACGAGGTGGCCATGCCAGAATGGTGCAGCACCCTACCCACCCACAAACACACACAGCCACAGCCGCCAAAGACGACAGCAAAATACAGTTCAGCAAGTGTAGTAGTAATCCACTCACCAAGTGAGGGTTCGTCTTGCTGCTCCTCTGCGCTCGCCATTCCCCTCCCGATGGTTTGTGGATCTGCATTGACGCAGCTTGGTGAGGCTGCAACACCACACACAACGTTAAGTACATTTCCAACATATACACAGGACAGTAGGTGCCCGAATGGATGCATGGTTTCCAGCCAGAGGCATACAAGCCTTGGATTACCAGCCTTAGAATCAACATTGCGATTGTACCCGACTTCCCGCGATGTTCCCTATAACACCCAGCCACAATAGGCGACACTCAGGCTTGCTGCACAGAGGTACACGTCCACCGCACCTACACGTCCCTCATGTCGAAGGCGTCCCTGCCTGCTTTCCGTTTCAGCACTGGTCGCACCTACAATGCAACACAGTTGGTGAGGGTCGCAGGTAAAATCCCGGAATGAAGTCAAACCCCGACCATGATCTTCCCACCCGGCCATGTGCCACCGGGCTTCCAAAGTCCACACATAATCCGAGACCCCCCACGACCCGGATTTTCCCGCCAGGTCGGCGGTACTGAGGGCGTTGCCCTGGCCAGGAAGCAGGATAGCGCGCGCTATGCCTGAGCATCACCGGCGGATTGCATCCGGCCGGACAGGTTTTCGGCCAACAGATCATCCGAGCCCCCGCCCCCCAACACCCCGCGCGGCCCGCATTTCCCGCCAGGTCGGCGTACCGAGGCGTTGCCCCCCGGCGAGGATAGCGCTATGCCTGTGCATCAGCGGCGGATTGCATCCGGCCACAGACAGGTTTTCGGCCAACAGATCATCCGAGCCCCCCCCCCCACACCCCGCGCGGCCCGGATTTTCCCGCCAGGTCGGCGGTACTGAGGGCGTTGCCCTGGCCAGAAAGCAGGATAGCGCGGTATGCCTGTGCATCAGCGGCGGATTGCATCCGACCACAGACAGGTTTTCGGCCAACAGAACATCCGAGCCCCCCCCCCCAACACCCCGCGCGGCCCGGAATTTCCCGCCAGGTCGGCGGTACTGAGGGCGTTGCCCTGGCTTCTGGTTCTGCCGCCCGTGCGCGCGCCGCGCGGTATGCCTTACCTCTTGGCCCGGCAGGTGCTGGGTCCATGGTGTGGCTGGTGGGGCGGCAAAGGTTGGAGACTGCGGCAGCACCAGAAGAGCGACCAAATAAGGTCCGCGGTATGTGGACGCTGGCTGAGCCACGCTGGCAATCAACCCGATCCGCAGATTCGGAAATCAGTACTTACTGCCTGTCATCCGCTGATTCGGCACACACGTCCGCTGCCATCCGCTAAATTAGCGGATGGGGTGCGCGGCTTCCGGTCCGTTGAAAAATATCCGTTAACGCCCAAGCGGAATCCGCAGAGTCCGCTGACTGGCACCAGCCGTCCGCTGCCATCCGTGCCACGTCAGCAAGAGAGAGAGCGGGGTCCGCTAAATTAACGGATATTTAACGGACGGCACCCTCGTCCGTTATTAACGGATCCGGGTGGCCACCTCTAGTACCCACGGGTCGGTGAGACGAACGGACACGAAGCGGGGGGTTCAAATTACAAAACTGGGCGGGTATACCAGAATTTGGGTGACTCACCCAATTCTGGCATGACCCTTGGACTGCCTTGGATATGGGGTATATAAACGGGAACACCGGAACACTTCTGTAACCAAAAACTTGCCGCCAAGCTCGTTTCCGACTGGACCCCGATTCGAACGGGTAACGGGCCAAGTCCCGACCAGCCAAGGAAGGCATTCGCCCCTTACAAGGACAATGATGCAAGGCGGGGTTGGGGCCCAAGGGCAAGTAGTGCCACGGGGCCTAGCCAACTTGCGGGCACTGCAGTGGGCGGCAATTTGACGGATGCCATACAACAATTGATTGTGTGCCACGTTCAAGAGCTCCTAATACAACGCTAGAGTTTGCATGAGCTGGGTGCCTTACGAGAGGAGGATGCATTAGATTATTGGGCATGGAATAGTGCTCGATGGCCCATGGTGGCATGAGTGGCATGGCACTCATTGTGTGTGCCGGCCAGAAGTGGTGCATGAGAATGGGGCTTCTTGGTATCCAGCCATACTATATGATCTCGACAGGCATCTCTAGGGGACAAACGCATTAAGTAGCTCATGTTCTTGTCCGGCAACATCGAATTGTAATTTTTTGGGGTCACTTTGGCTTGTCTCAAATTGGACTATGTGTGTGTGTGTGTGTGTGTGTGTCTTGTCTCAATTTTGGTTATGTGTCCAACTTATACATTGGGCAATATGCATATCGCCCTTGTTGCAAGCCAGGTGTTCTATGCGAAATATATCTTTTGGGCTGGAATCCGGCCTTATGATTGCCTCCCAAACTTGCACTGGTCCACCAACGGCCCCCCTTAACTTGTAAGACCTAGAATTCGCATGGTCCGTTCTTGGGGAATGAATTGAAATAGACCTGAACGAACAAGGACAGATCTATTCTTGTTCAAGAATGGATCTGTTCTTGAGCTGGGACGGATCCGTCCTTGAACAAGAATGGATCCGTTCTAACACCGTTCCTGCCTGATGCAGATCCAGTCCAAATTTGTACTTGGGGAACGGCTTAAGAACGGACTGGAACGGACTGGGATGAACTGGGATGGACTGCGACGGGAACGGGAATGGGTCCGTTCCTGGGACGGGAATGGACATCTTCCCCATTCCCATTCCTACCCCATTTGGCCGGGCCCACCTCTGCACACTGGGCCCATTTACTGGCCAGGTGCAGGTTGAGGCACAAAACCAACCAATGGAAGAAGTAGAGGATCCCCCCATAAATGCACCGGCAAAGCCGGATACAATTGCAACATTTCTCCAAGCTTTTGGAGTGATGGAGCTGCTGGAGAAAATAGCGGTGGCGGTGGCTGCCAAAGCGCAGGAGGCCCGCAATCAGGATGCAGAGCCCGAATCGCACGTCTTGAGATTGAGACTGCCGTTGCCAAAAAGGAGGTGCGCGGGCATCAAGTGGCCTCACCGCCACCTTGCAATCAGTATACTGATTGGCACACCATTTGGCGCACCGATTCATGCATAGATTTATGAAACAATCACCTCACCAAATAGGCCACTGAATCGGTGCACGAGTTTGTGCACTGAGTGGTACACTATTTCATGCACCAATTGCTGCACTTGCAATTAAAAATCAAGTTTAGGTGACATGATTTCATTAGAGGTGGCCACTCAAGATGCCATCCGGTCCATTAAATCCGGTTCGTTAATTTTTATCAGCTGTCCGTTAAATTCCGTTATAGAAAAAGGGAGAAAAATTCAGAAAAAACGAAAAAAATCCAAAAAAATCGAAAAAAAACCCAAAAAATCACAACAACTGCGGCTAGTTGAAAATCTAGTATGCATAGGTTGAAATAAAATACAAACATACTATCTAATAGCGAATTCCATAAACTATAAGTATGACTAAAACCCAAAATCCCCAAAAAATCCAAAAATCCGCTAATTTTTGGTTAATTTTTGTCTTTTTCCGTTATTTTCCGTTAATTAACGGAAAATTAACGGAAATTAACCTCTGTCCGCTATTAACGGATCCGGGTGGCCACCTCTAGATTTCATTGGACAACTATAACCCATCTTCAAACTAGCTTGCATTTAGCTCCCTTTCAAGGCCTTGGAAACCAAATGGATAGTCCACCCGACTGTCCAAAGTTGTGGCGCCGGGTTAATCAAAGGGCGCCGTGTGCGCAGCGCGTGCGGCGGTCCGAACTTGTAATATAACAGAAAAAAATGCTGGGCGGCCACGTCTAATATCTAGCATAATGTGAAGATCACTTTTACAAGGCGTTGTATATCCTTTTCCCTTTGACATATTTTGCCCTAACAAAGTTTAACACTATTGAGTTGGCGGCCTACGGACAGACTGGCCAGCAAGATTCTATGCAAAACGCGCGAGGTAATCCACATGTACAAAACAACACTTGGTGTAACGAGCAATGGGGTTCATCCCGGGGCCACGGACGGCGAAGCCAAGGGGTAACCGAGTGTGTGACTGCGCCACCGGGCACCCTCTGAGGGGCCGGCCAGCTGTGCTGCAATTCGTTGCACAACACTGCACTAATGTAAGGGATCACCGTCAGCGCGTCCCTAATTAGGATTGCATTGGTGACTGAGAACCGTCCTTGGAACGTTTCCCGTCCAGGCCTCTGGCCATCCGCGTTCCCTCGCCGCGACAAGGGACGCACGAGGGCCATGGCGGGCTTCCAGCCGACCGCGCCCCCCGCGCGGGCCCTGGGATCCGCCCACTCCGCCATGATGGCATCTTTCCAGAACTTGCGGCTGTCGCCCGCGGGAGGGAGGTCCCGCGCCGCCCCCGGGCCAGTGGTGGCGCGCGCCCCGGAGGCAGGCGTCGGCATGATGGGCACCAAGGTGGCGATGCGGACGTTTTTCACCGAGGAGGGCCTGGCGTACGGCGCGACGATCATCGGATTCGAGCCCGGCAACGTGGTGTCGCAGGTGGGGAGCCGCGACGCGGGCCGGTCGCTGATGCGCGTTCGCTACGATGGGTGGGCAGAATTTTTGTCGCTTTCTGCTGGTGGAAAAGGAAATCGGAGTCTTTTGGCAGGCGGATGCGCGTTTCTGTGGCTGTTGATTAATCCTGTAGTGTGGGGATCAGCTACAGGAGTCGTTGTGATGCCGTCCTGCGTTGGCTGTTGCGCGACCACTACAGGACGGCAGCACAATGATTTATGTCGCTGATTTGCCCTATTGCGTGGCTGATTGACGGCCACAGAAACGCGCACCCACGTGACCAATGATCTTGACTCTCTTTTCCTCTGGCAGGCAAGAGCCAAAACTCTGCACCCACCCATCCTCTGAGGAGGGTTGCCGCCATGCATGTGTGTCCGCAGACCAAGAATGCCCTCAGCTGAGAGGGGAGTGCGCGCTGCCGTTGAGTTTGTTTCTGCTTTTGGGCGATCGGCGCAGGTTAAGACGAAGGCGAGTGATGGCTACGAGGCGGTTCAGGTGGCGTATCGGGGGGCAAAGGAGAAATCGGTGAAGGCTCCCGTGAGGGGACACCTGAAAAAGCATGGTGTGGAGCCGATGAAGCACATCAGGGAATGGAGGGTGAGCGCTGGGGGATGGGGGGCAGTAGAAAGGAAAACAGTGGGGTTTGTTGCTGCACTTCTGGCATCATAAAGGTGGTCTTGGTGAGTCCTGGACATGCCCAGTGGAGAGGGTATCACAGTGAATTCTTGATACTGTCGTATGATGGGAACTGTTCCATATCGATGGGTGTGCAAGTGAGTGAGACTGGGGAGCCATTTGCAAAAGCAAAACTGGTGTGAATTGCATTGGGTTTGGGATTGGAGATGTGGTGTCAAAAATGGGTGAACATGGAATTTGGGATCTGCACGGGTGCATGGGCTTGAGCTGATGCGCCAGCAAATAATACCAAACAAGTCGCCAAAGCGTTGTCTTGAAAGGGCAGCACTGCATCACAAAGCCCAAATCATCGATATGTAGGGATGCCAAAAGTGACGCTCAGATATTGCTGTCGCATATTCCAAAGTATGGAAAAGGGGCTGGCAGGTACCTGCTCAGTAGTGGCTTTCATGTTGTGACATGTTTGATCGTTGGAGGAAAGTGGTTGCTTGTGCAGTAGTGTTTTGTCAAGTTTTATGGACAGTCATGCATGAACTTACACAATGCCTGCACCCATGTACCAAATGTCAGCTGCTGTCCCAGCGATTTGTCTGCCAGTAGTCCTGAATGTGGGGGACAAGTTGTGCATTAGGAACTTCAGTTGGTGTGTAGTGCCCTCAGCATCACTTATTGTGTGCAAGGGCAACGCTTTATCTAGAATTTGACAAGGGTAGCAACTGAGAATCCAGCACAGAATCGAGTACATGTAATTGAGCATGTTATTGCTGGTGTGAAATCTTGTCCATTCGATGTGACAGCCTGGAAGGACGATGTGATAACAGTTTTAACATGCTCCAGAGCACTGCAATTATGCTTGTTAAGCATGGTCAGGCCTTGTTCACAACCACAATGGTTTCTTCCTGTGCAGTCATGCCAGGCGCCACCAAACAGCCCTAAAAACTCTTTGTTGGCTATTCTGCAGCTCACTGATCCCGAAGTGGTGGCCAAATATGAGCCAGGGCAACAGCTGGATGTGAATGAAATCTTCAAAGTTGGGGAGGTTGTGGATGTGGCAGGGAAGACAATTGGGAAAGGCTTTCAGGGTATGCCAAACTTGTGCCTCTTGGTTATCTTGATATCAGGAATGGACAAGCATCACACAGCATCCATCAGTCAAGAGTGATTGTGGCTGTTGGCTTGTCAGTCATCCAGTATCTACTCAAAATGATTGAGCTACTCTCTCAGAGTTGGTAGAACACACTGTGACTTCTGGGTGCTCGCCCAACTGTGAACCAGAGTGGCAATTGCCACACTGTGATAGACCTTGAATGTGTCTGTATGAACATACAGTGTTTGCTGACAGTGTAGTCAACACAATGCCACAGCAGTGTGTTTAATTTCCCTTGATGACAGCTGCAACAACCACAAACCCAACCACAAACAGGTCCGCTGGCTGTTCTATCGCTGATGGGAGTGCCATTCATATTTGAAGTACTTTGAAGTATGTGTTTTCCAGTTCCTTTGATTTCAGCTTACCTATAGGCCATGAATGCACCAACCCTTCACACATTTGTGACGGTGATGGGCACAGGAGCGACCAGCACGTGCATTTTAACGTGTCAGCACATTGACTGCTTACACGAATTGTCAGGATTGTTTACACTGATGAAATTCTGCTGCTCAGGTGCGATCAAGAGGTGGCACCACAAGCGTGGCTTGATGACTCATGGGTCCAAATCCAAGAGGGAGCATGGGTCCATTGGGGGTGGCAGCGCCACCCCCAGCCGCGTGTTCCCAGGCATGAAGATGGCTGGACACATGGGAAATGTGAGGAGGAAGATGAAGAGGCTGGAGGTGGGTGGTGTGACAATCTGTATGGGAAGTCCCACACGAATGGTCAGTGATTTGGGCTTCTGACTTTGCTGGCATTGATTGCTGCTGCTGATGGTGTGCTGCAGCAAGTGTAGACAGCTGTATTGGCCAGAATTGTTGGTGTTCAAATGTGGCAGTGTAATGCCAGATCTGCCTTCTTCTGTGCTTGATAGTTCTAAAATAGACGTGTCCTTGCAGCAATTATCCAAAGGATTGCTACCCTTGTATAGTATCCTAACATGTACACAATTGGCTTATGCAGCAAAGTTCCATGGTATTATCGAAAATGGGAAAGTGCTGTAAGTGTTGAGCTTTGTTTCCTGTGTGATTTTGCCAATGTGATTTGATGGTTTTATCATGCAGTCATGGCATATTTTGGATGCTTGTGTGAGCCATCAATACCCTTCATTTGTAGCGAATTTGTGTGTGCCCAATAACTGTGCAGATCCTAGAGATCGACCCTGAAGGGGAGTACATCGTCGTTAAAGGTGCTGTGCCTGGAAAGAGGGGTAATGTGCTGCAGATCTCGCCATCAAAGATTGTTGGAGTCAACTGCTGACCCTGCATCAAGACTCTGGTTATCGACATGCAGTTTATGGAGGGGCAAATTTTGCTTGCGCAGACTTGTGGCCAGTGATGGGGCTCAAGGACCATACAAGCACATGGTCCCTCAACAGCAACTGGTTGGTTCGGTGTGAGATCAAGGTTTTGCATTGTAAGCAATTTCATTGAATACGAAGGTTGGAGCTGTGCTAGATACTGGTCGTCGGCAGCAATCAAATGCTGGCGGCGGGCGACTCATTGTTTTGTCTGTTTGCAGATTTGTGTTTCTGCGGTTATCGCTGGGCGCCATTTGTGGCGGACTGGTCCATAGCAATGCATGCTGAACTCCAGTGGAAGGCAAGCCCATACTTAAAAGCTTAGCCTTGCCTTAAGGTGCACCAAGGTGAAAAGAACCAAAGCTGGAAAGAACCAAAGAAGCATAGTGGGCGGAAACCAAAAACATGTCAGGAGCAAGCGACCCGTCAGTTCGAGAAATTGCAGTGCTTAACCGTTGAGTCCAGTGCAGAGCAGCATTGTCATTTTGAAGCTCGTTGGAAACTTGGAACCTGGTTGGAGCCACGTGCATCAGAGTGATCTGAGTGGTTTGCCTTCATGTGTTGTTGATGTGCGTACTCGCATAGTTGTCTCCACATGGCCTGTGAACTATTCAACAACTGGTTCGGCGACCCAAACACGAACGAATTGGGGGTCTCCTTGGTCTCTTCTGGAGAAGAGAGAGGTGTGTCGTTGTAAATCTCCGCTGCCTGCTCGACCATCCTGGCAAAACACTTGGGTCGCTCTGCCTACATGTGGCTCAAATTGTTCAAAATTGTTTGATTGAACCGCTCTACTAATCCAATGGATGCATGATGGTAAGAAGAGGAGTATTCCCGTGTCACTCTCTCTTGTGTACACCACCTCTACAATTCCTTGAATTGCGTGGCCTTGCCGATGTTAGAATACAAGATTGCAGGCATCCCTTGTGATTGCGTCCACTTCTTTAATCCCTGCATGATGTTTGCCCCTCTTGCACCCGTTACTGCCCATGGCCCTGTTCATCTAGTTAACATGTCCACGATGATAAGAATAAATTGTTTTTTTCCCATTTTCCTCCCAGGAAAAGGTCCCATGAAATCCGGACCAATGACTTGGCCAGCTTTCTCTAGCACTTGCCAACTAGCAAATGGGTTTGATGGTTGCGGTCGATGGAACAATTGACACCCCTTGTATGACCGCACTCTAACTGTCACCCACTGCCATGTTGGATGCAAGCCCATCTAGCAAAAATGAGAATATGTCTTCTTCACTCCCAAATGCCCTATATGGGCTTGCTTCCATTGTACCTGAGTAATAATCAATAAGCGATGTCGTTCTTCCATTGCACAAACATGAGACGGTCCAGAAATCCATGCTTCCTGTCGAGATAAAAAATCTGCCAAGAACTAAATGGCCCCGGTGTCGAATTAACACTAATCGACCACTGATCTGCCTCCGTCAATTACTGAGTTGTAATCCGATGATTAAATGGTGGTATATGAGAATCCCGTTTTGAGGAATGCCATCAACAATATTCGAATGGCTTTAAGCTTTTCTCGAATCGACGGATGTTTCACATGCAACTTTCTAGTTACCATAACTGGAGGTCAGTGGCTAAACACTGATGTGCAGGAAAACTCAATGTGAGAAGTGAATATATATTAAAAAGCTAGTTTAAAGAGATGAAAGACTGACACACCAAAACGGTTGCAACTACGATTTTGTGCAAGCACCTATTCATGTGCTGGCTGATTGGTGCACACATTAACCTGACTAAGATGGCGGGAGGACGGCTGACCAACAATCAGCTTCAATCTTGCTAATTTTAGTGATCATGAGTTGGTACTATGGGTTGGAGTTGTGGGTGGGTGCCGTGGGTCGAAGACATGGGTCGGTGCTGTGGGGTAGCGTGTTGTGCATGTGTGAAATGTGAGTTCAATTTGGGGCTCTGAGTGTGAGTGCTGGTGGGCAAAAGTAGAGGCGCATTCTGGTATTTAAAGAGAGCCCGAGACTGTTCGTGGCTTCTCTTGGTTTGGTTGTAAGACAAGTTGGGTCTTGGCTGCTTGTCTGACCATGCACGGCGAGTGCGTTTGAGCACTGCGTGCACCAAGGTTGCCACAGGTCGAACCAAGTCAGTTTAACTTGTGCTGCATTGTAGCCCATCACTGCGCACATTCGATTGCGACGAGCGGGACCTCGAACCGGGATGGCTAAAGAGCTTTGACACCTGGGCAAAATGAAATCCTTGGAAAATACCAAGAAAGGTGGCCCAATCGCTGCTTGAGAAAATCGCTCAAGTTTGCCGGATTATTAAACTCAAGCAACTTGGTTGTCTATTACTGCATGAAAGGTGCCCCAAATCCATGGCCAAAATGCCCGGAGAGCCTGTAGAGCACCTCTAACTCATCATGTTGCTAACATGGTGTTGGAAACCAGTCGACCACAAACCATGTGCACAACGTATGATCTGCTGACTGGTAGGCAAAATAGCGCCCAAACCAATCTTGTTTGCATCAGCAATCATAGTGGAGAACCCAAAAGAAGAAGGGAATAGCACATCGAACAAAATGTCGACATAACAAAGGAAGAGAATGTTGCCACCGGTCCAACGAAGGATGTGCTTGAGCCTCCCACAAATAAATTTATTTAATAAATGTTTTGCACGTTCACTTGCCCGGGGTCGCCCTCTCTCCCCTTTGGCCCTGCATTAGCCGAAGCTTCCAATTTCCCCCTATTTTTTTTGCTATTCGGATCCTATTACCAATCCCAACACCCTCTGCCACCCCACCTGTTGACAAGAAAACGGGTTTTGGTGACACCCGTTATTGTAGTGAAAGAGCCACCCGATGGCAAGCCATTCCGCCTGCGGCTGGGTGACTAACTTTGACCTGTCCACACATTGGTCCCCCTCGCATCTCCCCTCCTCCCTTGCACCCCGGCCCCGTCACTATCCGAGGCCTCCCCCCCCACTTTCCGCCACTCTGCCTGACTGCCGTCAACCCCCATATGCGTACGCTTATTTGCCGTCCACGTCGAGGAGCCGCTGCCATCTGCCAGGGAGCCGCCATGCCGCCGATTGCCGGTGCGCCATTCCCATGTCCACTGCACAGTGCTCGTTGCTGTGTCTGCCGAATAGAGGTGGCTCCTTTGTCCGTCCACAACAAAATTTGGTTGGCTCTATTAAAATTCTGTATAGTCAACGGAATCTATGAGCGGGCCACAGAGAGAAAAAATGTCCAACAGAAACGGGCGGGGCCATGCTGACATCAGCATAGACGGCTACAAAAATCCACACAACCTTCCAGAATAGAACCACGTATTATGGAATTTGCGCCGCAGCCCACGAATGACAGCCCCCCCATAACGGAACCACTGACCGGACCACAGAGGTCGACAGAATTCCATCAACGTTCACGGAGCAACACAGACCTTTCAAACACGTTGAACTCCAGTACAGAAATTCCATATGCATGGCGGACATGGGGTGCGATTGCCTGGGTCTTTGATGGACTCGGCAGTGCACACTGCTTGCCCAATGGCAATCCATGTGCCCCTTCAAATCGTTTTTGTTTGTCACACAGGCAGAATGTATGCCCAAAGTGTTCCCAAGCCCAGTACATTCGATTGGCTGGCATGTGATGTGATGCCCCTGGGGTATGTGAAATGCTGCGTCGGGGCCGCCCGCTGCCAATTGCCCCTATGGCGTTGGTACCCTTAAGTGAGTGGTGATGGCGTCGGTGTGGTGGGTGGGTGGTGTGGATGGGGTGTTGTTTTTGCTCCTATTTTCATTGTGGTTGTTGGATGGGGATTCGTTTCTGTTGAGCTTGAGTACCGGCTGCGGCAATGCGATGCCATAGCCGGGAAGGAGCAGCGGGGAATTTTGAGTCTTGCGGGGTGCACGGGCTCAGCCTATTGGGTTGTTGTTGTTTGTGTTGAGTCATGTTGGATGCAATTTGGAGTGGACGGGGATGTTGTTTTGTAGTAGAGTAATGGCCGTAGTCTGGTTCGCGATAACCTTGCCCTAGCTCCTGGATCAGGTTGGCATGGATGGGGTTGTTATGCAGCTGTTAAGCTGGAGTACCGGCCGCTGCTTGGCCAGGAAAGGGCTATTGTTTTGTGAAGGCACCGGGTGGATGGGCGTTTGCTAACATGTTTTGTTTTGTCCAATGCAGGTTCCGGCCGTGAGCATGCCACATCAGGGGATAATGCAGGTAGGGGGTGGAAATGGGTGACTGTTGTTTCTCCAAGATCGCGTCGGGGTGGGGGTGGGGGGGTGGGGGGGTTGCTGTTCAGCTTGGCTGGAGTACCGGCCACGGCTTGGCCAGGAAAAGCCAGTGTTGTTGAGCTCGTGGTGATACGAAAAGATTGTGGGTGTGGGGTTGTTGTCCTCTTTGAGCCGCGGACCCACCTCGCCGGGCACCTAGGTCCTTACGGGGACCTAGGCGGGACCACCCCTCCTACTCCCGTATCCTAATAACTAGAACGGTTACGATGGGTTGAGGATTAGGTATCTTAGGCAGGCATCCCCTACATCAGGCCACTGCACGTATTACATTGTTACTAATATGACCTACTACATGAACTGTAACTGAATGTTACTAACATTCGTCCCCCTCAGGGAGAGGGGCGTCCTCATCCCATTAAGTGGATACGGGAGTAGAAACATAATTGTATACGCCGCAACTGGCTGTGCGATTTGCCATATGCCCAGGTCACATGGTTGCAATGCAATTGTGATGAAGAGAAAGAGTGGTTGTTACATGACCTGTCAGCCTCTCTACAACCCTCATTAAAACTCTTCCTTCAGCCCATAGGCTGGAATGTTTAGTCCCTGGCCTTTCGGCCTGTGTCCACTGCTGAAAAATCAAATTATGCAGGTCATCCTGCTCAGCCTCGGCCTCCACCGGCCACCCAACCCCTGCCTCCCCGAGGATGCTGCTGCTGTCGCCGTGCCCTCGGAAGCACACGAGTTGGGGCTCT